GAGGTATCTATCCCAGGACTGGTTATCACAGCATAAAGCTGAAAACAACTGTCATTCCTCTTTTTTTAAAAAAATACATTTTATTGATTTTTTACAGAGAGGAAGGGAGAGAGATAGAGAGTTAGAAACATCGATGAGAGAGAAACATCGATCAGCCGCCTCCCGCACATCTCCCACTGGGGATGTGCCCGCAACCCAGGCACATGCCCTTGACCGGAATCGAACCTGGGACCCTTCAGTCCGCAGGCCGACGCTCTATCCACTGAGCCAAACCGGTTTTGGCAACTGTCATTCCTCTTAATCGGAATCCGGTTAAACGATGATGCGGATATACTGGACACATCTCTAAGATGTATTGTTAAATCCTTAAGTTTCAGAAAAAATGTCATTTTTAAGGATTATAAGAGCACATATACTTACAGAAGACCCAGGCTGATCTGTGCATACTTGTGCTTAGAGAAGGGCATATGTGCTTTAAATTCTAGAAACGCAAATTAGAGTCTTGGGAGTGCCAACTAAGCCAGCTGACAGCACCCCGGCCCCTGGGTCTCCCCCCACCCCCACCCGGCCCCAAGAGGCACACCAGGGGAGGAGCAGCTGGCGGGGCCAAGGCCAGCTCCAGGCTCTGGTCAACTCCAAGTGTAGCTGGCTGCAGGCCCAGGCCTCCCGAGACCAGGGGGAGCCGGCCGCTATGTGCGGTGACATGGGGGAGACGAGGGGTTCTCTGGACAGGAGACTTTTGTAAAGTAGGAGGTGGGGGTGAGGAGGGGGACTGGCTGCCAAATTCGGGCCTCTCCCGCCCCCGTTACCCCCGGCAACAGCTTGTTTCTATGGGCCAGAAAAAAAACACTAAAGGACGTTATGATGTGCCTGTGCCTCCGTCCTAACAGAAACACGCCTACAAGTCGTGCAAGCCCCTGGCTTCCTGGGTTAACAACCTCATCCAGCGGCTGAATTTCTTCAACACCTGGGCCAAGATGGCTTACACGGCGATCTACCACCGGTAGGGCTTTCCTTTCGTGTCCCCCTGGTTGTGGCTTAGAGCTGCACGGTGTGCAGCATGCTCGCTCATGTGGGGCCTCGCGGGGGTGGGGGACCTCACCTCCCCCTTAGGGCGAGGGAATGAGACCAAGTCCCGCCCCGTCCAGGGTCACTGCCCTCGAAGAGACAGACAGAGCCTAGGGCCGTGGTCGGCACACCGTGGCTCGCGAGCCACATGCGGCTCTTTGGCCCCTTGAGTGTGGCTCTTCCACAAAATACCACGTGCGGGCGCACGTACAGCGCGATTGGAACTGCGTGGCCCATGCGCAGAAGTCGGTTTTCGGCCCGGGCGAGTCTATTTTGAAGAAGTACTGTTGGTATTTGGCTCTGTTGACCAATGAGTTTGCCAACCACTGGCCTAGGACATTCTCTGGCCACACTGTGTCTTGTGAAAGTAGCGGGGAGAGGGGAGAGGTGAGAAGAACGAAGAATTAGTTGCATGTGATTGTTAAGCGTGTTGAATACATGATACACAGCCAATGGAAAGACGTGAGTGCCGAACACCTACTGAGCGCCCCCAGCGGGCCAGGCATTTGTCCAGGGGCTGTCCTCGTGCCCCGTCACCAAACCTTCACGGTGACCCCAGGGCACGAAGCAGAACTGTCACGTAGGGAGGAGGAAAGCGAGGCACAAAACCTGCGGGGACGTGCCCACGGCTCCCCAACCAGCAAGTGGGAGCGTTGGGGTTTGAACCCAGGAAATCTGGTTCCAAAGTCTGTGCCCAACTGCGCCCGGTCCCTGAAGCCCAACCGTGAGCGAATGTTCCCGGACGACATCCTGAATGGGAGTTTCATTTACATATAACATTATTCAGTAGCCTGATTTCCCCTCTCCTCACCAACATCCACTACACCAATGGACCAATTATTTTTCTTATGTATTTATATATATATGTTATAAAATCACAGAATGTCTGTAGACGAGAAGAACACTGACTAAAAACTACATCGTTTATTAAAGTATATGATTACCACAGGAGTAGTACTGAGAGCTCGACTGATGTGAGACACATACATAATACTAGAGCGCGCTGTCACTATGATAGACTATCGAAGGAGAATATAAACATATAGATTATA